TAAGCCCATGTGGGCTACAGATATGTATAACATGTGATCGAACGAGACCTGCGAAATCTTGATATGACTCCGCACACCGAGCCTACTTGAGGAACGAGATAAGGGCCCGCAGTAAGGATGGGCGTCCAGCAGCCGAATACTAAACAAACTTCTTGAAAATCGGTTCTTGTCTCATGCTTGATATGCGTGTTTGTTCACGTGTCCGACCCTGCTGATGCTAGGGGCTCTTTGACTGCTCGCATTGAGACATTAAGAAACTCCCCTAAGGCGGAAGGAAATCCTGGCAGAGAAATCTTTGAGTACTTGATTTGGGCTAGGAAACTCGGGGTTAGGGTTTCGGGGATCCGAGGATCAAAGGCCCAGGCGTAGCCTGAGGCCGCTGAAGGCTAAGTGGGACACTTCACTCTCTTGTCTTTTGTGCCTTGCCAAAGTGCAGCCTGCTACGATGGGTTTGAAGAGGACGGAGTTGGGCATTGCTTATGATGCCAGGAAGGTGGCCCGAGTTAAAGCGTAATTAGTAATGGGGTCTCCTTCTCATAAAGTTCTACTATATATTAAGCCCTCCAACCCTATTCTACTTAAGACTTCATAGTTGTGGCCCGTATACTTGCCACAGATAACCGAAGGCGCTCCAGAGACCTTGCGATCCAGGTAAGCCCAATGCGAGGTTTTGGGAGGGGGGGGGGGGTGTTGAAGGTTGAAGATTTTTATGTTGTGAGTTTTGGGTTTAGGAAAACAAGGCAAATTCCGATCTAAGATAGAAGCGGCGCCGCAAAGAAAGAGCCCCGGAAAGAGCCATGCCATGAGGCGAAGGCAGCCCTCAAAGCCAAGGGTGGTGATTCGACAGCCCCTGTCTCAGTCGGAAGAGGCTACTCGATGGGCAAGTGTCAGGACTTGGCAGGCTGGAGTCTTCCAGTGTATGCTTTTCGGTATTTTGTCCGGGTTTGATGAAATAACGAAGGAAGCTTGAATCATAATGGTAGAGCGTTTGCAGCAGCTGGAATGCGGCAGGTATTCATAAACGCGGAATGCGCAACACTTCGCTCGCGGGGGTCAGCCAATGTCAGCCACAATCATGCGCAATCCCTGAGCATCCAAAGGTCCGCAAACCCTTTCCCTCAGAGACCGAGGTGACCGTCTCGACAGGGCGAGCAGAGCGTGGACTCGTCATCCAGGCTTCTGAGGGGTGGAGTGAATTCTTTTCTGATGTTTAGAGTGGGGTTACGTCTACCAGTAGACTCAGAAACCGTATCACTAGAAGGGCCTGACAACTTAGCCAAACTGTTCCCTCCTGGTCCTTTCATAAGTATGCTATTATAGAGAAGCCGCAAAAAGGTATTAAGACTCCTATACGAAACCCTTCTAGTAACCCTTCAAACAGCCCGGTGGCGAAACTAGATTCCAATTATGATTACTACCATTATTATTACTAGCATATATACTACACTGACTACAAAGCCCCTCTGTGGACCGTTGCAGGTCGCGCACCCGGAGGCAGAAGCGGAAGAAGTCGCGTGTGGCTCTTGGCCGTCTTTGGTCTGAGGCTCTCCGGAGCATCGGTTTAGGTTTTAGGGTTTGGGGCTTCTAAGGGTTTTTAGGAAAAAAGGTGGGGCCATTACAGAAGCCTGTGATGGTACCTTAATCAAAGGTCCGTATCCTGTATACTATTTGGGTTCTTAAGTTAAGGTACCCCTTGTTTCTGAAACTCCCATTTCCGATTGCACAGCTGCAAAGATGCCGTTTGCTGTGCTACTCAACTGCCGCTGCTGCTTCACGCCGCTGAACGCCGAAAGCCACTGTCGGACGGTTTAGGATTCAGGGACCCTAAACCCGTAAGCATGCCGATGAAGAAGTTAGTAGTACACTCTACAGGAGAACTGACAAATCGGTCAGTTACCGAGCGATATGTCTGAGAAGGCGTTAGACCAGGGTCCTTTCGGTTGGTGTCATGGTTTAGATGGTTCTTGGTGTTACTCATAGGTTTTATGGCTAGTGAGAGTCGAAACCCTAAAGCGCAGCTCTCACTCTTGCAAGGCCCGTGTCTCCAAATGCGATCTGAAGGCCGCCGACCGACCCGCAGCGATTGAGGTGAAAATCTTGGCCGGCACCGTGCCCGTCTCTTGCAGTTCCGAAATGTCCCATTTGGGAGTTGTTTGTGACGCACAGAAGTGTTGATCTTGAGGCTGTTAAGAGTCAGGGATGTTCGTATCAAGAACCGTAGTACTGCATAGGTTGCAGTAATTTCCGACGCTCCCATATCGTGTCACCATGTATATATGAATGAACTTCAAAAGCCCGAAGTTTGGTTCACGGGGTCGTCCACAAAAGTAGCGGGCAACTTTAAGGAATCGGAGGGGAGGCGAGGGCATGTATACCTGCGTGCATGCAAGCAGCATTCAGATGATCGCCTGCCGAAGTTTCTTTCCATGCACGAGTTTTCATAGCCACATATATCTAAAGGTACATGTTCCCGACACACATAGTAACAAAGCAGCGCTTATTTCCGTCAGCGAGATAACTTTCGCGGCACAAGTTGCTTAGATGCACATGGGTTTTGTTTGGCACATGCATACAGACTGCACTAAATTATTACATATAAGTAGACCTGCTTATCTGGCCTGGTTGACACGTGCAAGACTTGCCACATGTGCACAAAGAGTCATAGACTCCACGCACACAGACAGAGACACACACACACACACGCACACACGCACGCACACACACACACACACGCACGCACACACGCACGCACACACGCACGCACACACACACACTCACCCGCGCGCGCGCGGTGGCAACACCCACACTCCGTCAGCATCTCTTTGTTTGTGTGCTGTTGTATGTTTTTGTTTGTTGTATTCTCTCTCTCGCGCTCTCTCTTGTTGTTTCCCTCTCTTTACTCAGGTGGCAGCGACTAAAGTCGACCCAGACGGCAGACAGCACAGTTGCGTGCGAGGTGCTAAGGACTTCGAGCAACGGTGCTCTCTTGTGCTTGGTGTCTGAAGATGGCCATGGCCATCAGGCCGGTAATGGATTCTTGTCGGTATCTCCGGTAGTTGCTGCTTCGGGAGTATGTAATTGGGTCGGCTTGCACTGACATGGCAGTCTCCTCCTACGCAGACTCTGCGTACCATGTGCAGCTTCTTGAAGTAGGAGTAGCTTATTTGAGAATCCTCATGGCAAGGATCCATCCTTCTATTGATTCTTAGTTTAGATGAAGCCCCCACACCGACGAAAAACCTGGAGCGACACCGCTCCGCGAACTCAGCATGAATCCTTGAAAGCTCCCAGGCTTCGCATTGAGCCTGGCCCTGAGCTGGTTGGTCATCACGAATGACTAGATATGTCACGCGAAGAGCCTTTTGGAGTCATGCATGGCCATGCATCAGACACTGGGCCCTCAGACTTTGCCTTCGTGACAACATGGAAGGCGTGAAGCCTGCGGGCAGCTTTTCTTACCTTTCCTTGTTCCCTTTCGGCTGGGATACCTGGTACCTTGCCATCCATACTGAGCCTGCCACATCTCGAGCAAGGCAGTGAAGGGAACATGTGCGCATCAACCCGGCAACGCACTGGGTTCTGTGTGCACATCTACATCAAAAACACGTATATATGTGTATGCATCCGTACTAACTTTGTTAGATTAGATTTGTTTGTATGTTGTTTTTGACAGGTTGTTTAGTTACTTAGGCTTGCCGGTGCATACTCAAAGACGCAGGTTCATACGATTTGCATATGTGCGTGTGTGTGTATATATATATATATTAGTGTGAATATGTATGTATGTTTGTATGTATGTATGTATGTATGTATGTATGTATACGTATGTATATGTATGTATGTATACATGCACACACACACAATCACACACACACACACACACACGCACCCGTAAACCACGTACACTTATACAAGTCGTATGTGTATGTACGTGTATATGTGTGTGTGTGTATACGAACAAACGTACATACATACATCTGTGTGCATACATGTATCAACATCAACAATAGTGTCAGTTCTAATCGCTTATTATTTATGGAATTACAATTTCTTCAGAGTTTACCATACAAATCTTTTGGTATGTGGTATTAATGCTGTTCTTACCCTAAACTCAAGCCCGAGTGAAACAACAAACTCGAAACACCGGAGCCTACACTGCCAACCCTCAGGTAGAAGGAAAAGAGCCTGCCCCCGTCCCGCCACTTCTCCAAACAAAATCAAAAAGTAGAAGTAGATTCTACAGACCCATGCAATCAGATCCTTATACTGCAATAACTGTAGCTCTAACCCTAAACCCTGCATCGGTTTGGGGTTTGAGGGTTTTTGTTTTTCCTGCAAACCTTGAATAACCGTTGTAGAACTCGGAACCCAGATTCGACTGCTGGCCTGGGCTACTGGCCGCCGTCTGAGTGGATTCGTGTGGGAGGTTTGGGGTTTTGGGTTATCGTAGGGCTTCTTATAAGAATCCCCAACAGGGTGACTATAACAGACAAGGGTAACGTAAGGGACCAGCTACGACCAGGGTGTCTTTAAGGGCTTGGTGTTGTTACACATCTTGCGGGGGCTTACTGAACGGCTATGGATTTGAGGCCGGACTTAGTGTTCAGAGTGTAGCATGTTGATTGTAGGATTCGGTGTAGCATGCACGTCGCGTGGTGGCTCGAATCAGCATAGAGATTCATGCCAAACACCGCCCAGGCGTAGTAACTCCTACGTGAGCTCAGGTGCAGATGGGCGCAGCAAGGGGAAAGTGTAATAGTCATAGTAAATAATAGTAACCGTACTCTAATCGTGTCCCTACACAGTCTTTGTGTAATAGTTGTTGCATAATGTATCTTCAAAGCACAACTCTAATTGTTTGCAGAAGTAGGCAGCTCGCACATGTACTGCGCAGTAGCTCGCAACCGAAAGACCGGTGTATGTTTGGATAGATATTCACATAGAAAACGGTTCGAGCATTGAAGTATCCCTGTAGCAACCCCTACGTCGTGATCCTTATCATGGTGCTGCTGCGTTCTGCCTGGGCTTTGCTGCTGGCCACCGCGCAGTCCCCATACGAGGGTGTGGTGGTGCCGCTGTTGGAAGAGGCCGGCCTCTTTTGCAACAGTGTGGACAGCGGGCAGGTACTGCGGGTTGTCATCATCACGAGCATGACCTGTGCAAGATTTTGCTTGCTTTGTCTGGCTGGTATGTGTACCTGCTTTGCCAACAAGGGGTTGGCTAGAAGGGATCTTGAGTGCCACAGGAATGCCTCGTCGCCACAAAGGATCCGGGAACTCTGGCGGCGTGGCGAGGTCCAACTCTCGCATCTTTGGAGGCAGATCCAGGGCGGAAGCTGGAACTAGACCAATCAGGATGCACTATGGTGTTTTTGCGGACGGGCCATATATGCTGCAGATAATCAGCATGACGCATCGCTAAGCGCACGCAGAGGTTTAGGCCAGTCGTGCACTCAGTCTCTCGCATCCTGTGGCTTCATGCTGTCATGAGTGCAACATGGAAAGAGACAACTATCCTGAAAAAGGGCTTCATTACTATTCGGTTCGCAGGACCGTGCAACTCTGCAGCAGACCAGAGCTTGAGATCACACCCGCCTAAGCGTCCTCTAAACCCGAACCAAACTCTCTGAGTGGAGGCTCGGGCTCATCTGGCTGGTAGCTTCGGCCTAGAAAGCCGTGCCGCAGCGCCGGGTGGCCTAATTGGATTTAAAGGGGTTTGTGTCTATTCAGACATCATAGCGACTGCAACTAAGGGGATGCTGGTGCTAAGTCTTCCGACACCTATGTTAGTTTGAAGCTGTCGTTTGTGGTTTGGGCCCGTTTATGTCGCACTCGAAGGGTCAGCATCAGTTCAGATTGCAGGAGCATGTGCCAATATCTCTCCTAGGTCACAGGTTCCAGCCATGCACAGTCAGACTTCAACGGGTATGATACCGTTGAATTGAATGAGTATACCTTTCTTGGCGCATGGTTTTGACTTTATCAATACAGGTCATCTTGGCATATGCCGTATGCCGCATAGTTAGACTCGGCATAGCCACTCTATGCCACTCTCTAAGCCTGCAAGGCCTCCGACTTTGAAGTGAATCCTGCTAATGCCTATATGCCTATGCATCCTCTGCATTGGTACACAATATTCGAGAAACCTAGGGACCTAGGGCACGGATTCAGGTTGTTCCGTACATGCTGGAGTATTTTCATGTGAGACTGCTCCGCCTATGGTGTACGAAGCTGACACATGTGCTAGAGTGTCGGTTCGATACCTGCCAATCCTCACAAAGCACACCCCCAAGCACCACATACTTGGACCCGTAAGGAAACGTGTTTTATTGGCATGCCGGGAATGCTCCCCAGCTCGGTTTCAACACTGGGTATGCAGTGGTTGTAGTGGTGTGTCAACGTTCTAGGTCCTAGCTGCAGGCGTGTATGGTCCAGGGATCCGTATGTTCGCAAATACAAGTATCCTTGCTACAATTCTGTTTGCTTCATATGCAATCCATGCGTATCCCGATTGTCTGATGACACGGAGTTACTGTGTTTTTGGTACACACGGAAGGATAGATGCACGGGCACGTACGCACGATTCACTTCTGCGAATCAGCACACATGTGCTTATATGCGACCCATTCGCTTATGCGGGCGGATGTTTACAAGCAGTTTGCTTGCAAAGCATTCTCATTTTCAAAAGTAGCACCGCAACTACAAGTGGCTTTCATGACTACGTCGAAGCAGGTCTTGGTCCATTCTTTCATTCTTTCTCCTGTGGAAACTAGAGAGAATCCGGCGGGTCATGGTGTGCTACCAATCCCATACAGTTATGGCAAGCATCCGTTTTCAAGCAACTTCCGTGCTTTTGAAAAGCATGCGTTCGGGATTTCGTGAGACTTAGCTAGAGCCTAGCATAGCTTAGCAGGCAGCACGGACTCGCCAAACGACGGACGAACGGAAATTGAAACACAGAAGACCGCATGAACACAAGCATAGAAGCCATGAACAACAATTTTGAGAGTCCTCCTGTGCAAACTGCTCAGGATCGGCCCTTCTGTTTTCTGTTAGGGTTGAGGTGTTCCAGTGGAAGTGGTATTTGTTTTTGCTGTTTGGCCGCCGAGCTTTTTGAGAGCCGCTGCAGTGCACCAGTCACCAGCCGGTATTTGTTGTTTGGCTCACGGAAGTTGTTTTTGTGTGTTGTTGTTCACCCGCCGGGCCGTTTTAGTCCCGATGTAATACCACAGCCCAGTATGCATCGGGTCCAAAAAAAGCCCCGACGGCCAGACAACCAAAAAAGACATCACTTTCCCCGCTTTTTGGGTTTGGAGTTTATGCTTGAATGAGGGTGCCTAATTTGGACTTTGGTAGTGCTCAAGAGATGTAAGATTTCGGATCTAACAGCACAGCCAGGCCAGGATTCCAAGAAGGGCGACTTCCGACTCTTTAGCTTAGTCTTGCTGAGATTTCCTCAATGATCAATCACCGGCACCGAAGTAGAGAAAAAAACAGCTGCACAACTGAGACCTGAGCCTGGCATCACGGGCATAGGCATTGTCGGACAGCCAGGTTGGGTCACTGGCTAACATCGCTCCTGCAGCTGCTCCCTGTCTCAAGAGTGATGTGGGGCGAGAATCCGGCGAGAGGTTCTCGAAGCCTTCCTTCAAGTTTTCAGGCAAGATTTATTAGAACTATGATTCAATGATTATTGTCAGTAGTCTTGTTATGCTTATCAGAATATCCGCGGTAGCAGCGTAAAGGACAGTAGTCGGAGCCAGAAGAGCAACTAAACTTAGTGCGGTAGCATCAATATCTACGATTTGCTGATTTCGGACAGAAAGGACTTGATATGGACATGGGAAGGTGGGGGGGGCCTAAGACTCGGGTAGGAGAACATTAACTCTATTCAAGAACCATGTTTAGCGCGATAAGATACAACAAGTCTAGTGATACTGCAGGTGATATTATCGATATTCGCAAGGAAACTGATGCAGAGAGAAGGAGATTCAGAGATGCTGTTTGGACCCTGCGCTTCTGCCATCTGAAGGTTCGACACTCACTTGGATGCAGCATTCCGATGTCCCGCCTTAGCTGCCCAACATCTGCAGAGCCTCCCGGATGGCGATGCAGGGGAAATGCCAAGCACAGGATTGCTTTCTGAGAGTGCTGTTATCCTCCCGTCCTCCCGGTAATGCTTCAGACATCCAGGTACAGCCGAATGGTCTCTGTCCCTGGATCACCCTCGTCGTGCACGCATCCTCATCCAGTTGGGAGACTTGAGCTGTTGATCGGACCCGGAGTGTAGACTGATTTGCCTGTTTGCGAAGGTTCGCCACAGAATCCTGGTTCCAGCTAGCCGTGGTGGTGTGGGTTGCCGTTAAAATCATAGGGCACCCGCATTCCATTGATAGCTTTGGCTGTTTGCTGGTTAGGCACTTGTCCGAAGCGCAGCTTGTAAACTACATGTATCGAGAAGTTTCCAGCAGCAAAGCTGAGTAGTTGAAATGGCTCTTGCTGTAGATTGACTTCGGATTTTCCCAATGATAGAACTCAGGAAATGCGTTCAAGTTCCAAGCGTTGAAGGAGTTTGCGTCCCTCTACCATGAAATCAAGGTTGCGACATGAGGGTTTTGTCCTTTCCAGCTCTGTCACCTGCAGCTTTAGTGCGGTGTTCGTCTTATGAGGAGTGCGGAAACTTAGCCTTGACAGCGATACGAGTTTGTCGTGATGCTTGTGCCTGGGCGTGGGAGGCAGTGTCACCGTTTCTCGTGCTCGGCCATAGATGCAGGACGCGTTTGGAACGCCCACCGATGCGTCGCTGGAGGCTATGCCGAATGCCCCTCCTAAGAGATTTCTGCCGCGCTTGCACATCCAATACCAGCCGCTTGGTATGGAGCTGATGTTGCTGATATGCATGAAAACATTGGATTTACAGACTCCAGCCTTTGCCGCTCAAGCCCTCGTGGCAGCAGCCTGTCCATTGTTTGACCATTCCCTGTAAAGGGCTCCTACTCATAGCCAAGCACCATGCCAGTGCTTCCTCGGTGCGTTTTGGCCGCCTGCTTGGCGTCGCTCCTGTGCCAGGGGGCTGTTGGCCACCGGTCTTCGAAGTCTGTCGCGGGTGACTTGCTCGAGATCTCCGACGCGGCGGAAATCGAAGGCATCGACGACTACCCACGAGCTCTCGAATTCCAGCAGAGCTGGGTTGACTCCAAAAATTATGAGGACGTCTTGGAAGCTGTCAAGGAAAATGTGTCTGAGATGCTTTCGCAGTATACTGAGCCTCCTCTTCCGGAGTTGATGAAGCTGGTCCGAGACCTTTGGATGCTTTCCGATCAGGCACTTGCAAACAAAAACTTCTACAATTGTTTCAACCTTTGCGTGCTGTGCGAGCCGTCGCCGGAAGAGCTGGCAGCAGATCGGCTGAGGACCATCGCCGTGTCGCGCGCAAAAGACTACAAGGACAAACTCAAGATGGCCCTTATTGCCCCTGCAGATGCCGCCGGCGGTCTCGTCGCAGGTGTGTTCGCCGGCTTGGTTGCTGCAGGAGCCTACGGAACTGCCACCGGTATCGTCGCTGGCTCAGCGACGGCAGAGAAAATCGGCCCGGGCTTTGTCAGCCTTATGGTGGGCCTCGTCTCTGGAGTCGTGACCGGTGCGGTTGTGCTCCCTTTCGCCGTAGCGGTGCTTCCACTGCTCGCAGCGGCGACGGGCGTCGGCATCACCAAAGCCCTTACGAACTGCGCCCGCGTCGGCTTCGAGATTGCCGAGGACGGCAAATTCTTGCACGATCAGCCCTTCGCGAACCATTTTGGTGCAAACAGCTACGGCTTGAAATCGCTCAGGACTGCTATGGACTACAATGTGTCTAAGTATGTGGACGGCTTCTTCGACAGCAATCCTGACGACCTGTACATGCCGGACGAGTCGTCAACCGAAGAGGCGCAGAACTACAAGGCCATGTCCCACTGCGAACATCTACGGCTTCGGCCTTTCGACATCCGCCACGCCACACTCTGCGCCCGGCATTCCATGCTTTGTGGCAAGCGCGGTGGCATGTTGGTCGCCGAAGCGAAAGATGGTCAGTGTGCAGCCCTTTCCGGGCGCCCCTCATCCAACGAAGATGTGTTCATGAGCCGACTCTTCCAGCAGAGCAAGCAGGAGGCCTTAACAAAGGCGAACAAGAGTTGAGGACAGGGCCCGGGGATCCCGCAAGCACCCTGCGCATGGGATGAAGAAAAAGAGCTGCAGGCTTCTGTTTTGTCGTGCTCCGTCTCTCACAACGGGTCCCGGAGTGAGTTGGAGTTTAGAGCAGTCCTTGCTTGATCCCAGTGTGAGTGTCAAAATATCCTGTCTAAAACCCGACTCCAGCAAGTGTCAAACATTCTTGGGAAGGCGAAGGGAACAGAAAGAGAGAGTGTTGATGCTTGCACGCTCAACTTTCAAGCAGCGGTCGTGAGATCGATGGGTTGATGGACTGCCGGAAGACATCCCCCGGCATGCCATGTTTGGTGATCACCAGTTACATGGCGCTCGGGGTGTGCGGCAAAGCTCGGGCATTTGTCACAATTGAATCAGTTTCCGTCGCCCCAGTTCCATGCTCACTATTTTATGTCTTCGCCCGGCCTTCCTTTCAAGCCATCTCGGGAACCCTAAACTTAGAAATTCTTAGACCGGGACAAACCTTTGAACCCCAAAACCCTCAAGCCAAGGATCATGCTCGGGCAGCTGCACGATGCACTTCGTGTGCAGCCAAAGCCCTGGTTGCGGGGTGCTGCTTTCGGCCGGGTTGAAATCCACTCGATTTGCTCCACGGCCCCGAAAGGGGTGTTGGGTTTGCGTTTGTAGCTTGTAGCAGGTTTAGGGTTCAGGGTGCTTGAAAATGCATCGTTTGCAGTGATGTTACGGGTCCGACCTGGCTTTCAATTGTGCGTGTGAGCGTCTCTTATCTTAACTGATGACAGCCAGATTGCGCCAGATTAAGCTAGCCTGGGCCACTTCATGTCTACCAGGGCACACGGCCCGGCAACCAAGCAGCGATGAATCCAATATAGGGGCCTAAATAAGTACCAGTGCTATGTTGGGGGTTCCCAAGTATAATCGTACTATGATATACTGCAAAACCCTATTCTAATTAGTAAGGCCCTTGTAATTATGTGCCCTAGGCCCTAAGGACCGTAGAATCACGAAGGCCGCTCTTTCTCCAGCAGTCCGCAAGTTCCGTCGTCATAGTACGGAAGCCTCAATAGCTCATACTATCACTGCCTTATTATAGCCCTTACGTATATAATCAATGGTATTATATAGCTTGTTCTCATTGCTAAGGCCCTTGTCATACCGAGGCTCGTATAAGCCTGATCCGACATCCAAGACGACACTGGAATCGCCATTACCCGACCTGTCCGTGCCAAATCACCAAGCGTATGCGCAGAGACATGGATACCGGTACGTTGTGCACACAGAAAATGCATTGCCAGATCGGGAGGCGCATTACAGCAAGATGTACGTCGTGTATCAAAGGATGACGGGGCAGAGAGCGCATTGGGCTTTCAACGCCAATCGGCCGGAAGATCCACCCCCAGACTGGATTTTTTTCATCGATTGTGACGCTTTCTTCACTGACTTCGCAACCTCGGTTTCCGATCTGATCAACACGTATGCTCAGGGTTCGGGTCCTGGCAGCGACATCGCTCATTTCCTTGTCGCCGAAGATCCTGGTGGCATCAACACTGGCGTGTTCCTGATAAGGAATTCCCCATGGTCCCTGCGCTTTCTGGAGCGTGTGGCAAGCAGCACCTTTACCGTTGCATGGGATTCTTGGCTGAATGCAAGCACAAGTGGCGAGTAAGTGGTAGCAACTTCCTCACAATGTGACGCAGTCAACTCCTTAAGTCTTCGGTAGTGGTGGCGAGTTCAAAAACCTGAAATATGAGCTTGCGGCATCAAGCGAAGTCTTTCAGACTAGAGCGAGACTCTGAAACTCTCAAGATTCTAGCACTGCATTCGGTAACTACCAGTAGCTTGTTCTCGCTGCCACGGATTCGCAGGATCAGTCCATGTTCTTCTGGCATATGGTGAGAGGGGCTATGGAGATGGGGCTGGAGGACTTCAGCTACCCAACGGAGGTTCGTCTCGTGCACCAGGCTCGCTGCCAGGACGCTGCTGCTTTCTTCTGAGCAGAATTCGAAAAGGAATCGCAGCAGTGATAAGGTCATATGAGATCCTCCCTAATGTTGCAGACGTACAGGGGTCAGAGGAACTGGAATGTGTAGCTGCGAAGCCATCCTCAGGCGCATTTCAATGCCTTCGTGCCGCCAGCCTCGGTTGACTGGATGGCTCACGAGTGGCAGCCCGGTAACTTTGTCCGGCACTTCGCTGGCTGCCCATGGCAGGAGCAGCCTTGCCTGCAGATGATGGCGGCCTCTTTGCAGCCAACTTCAACCCGAAAGCCCAACACCCGAAGCCCCACCCCCTCAGTCACTACTGTGCGAGCGAGCACTCCCTGACATGGGTACGCAATTCCAATCCCCAAAGCACAGGCACATCTATTTACTTTGCGCACAGACACACACGCGAACCGATTCATAAACAAATCTAAACTGTATGAATTTAGGAATGTAGTGCACTGCCAATGTAGATATAAATTGATAAGGAGGTGGATGTAGATGTAAAGTGATGTAATGTATTGTGGCGCCAACATGCAACCATGAAGTCATCCAACTGTCTTTAGCTTGAAATCTCGAGCTATTTGTATGTGATGCCATGTAATCTAATGTAATATAACGGAATGTAAGCACATATATATATATATATGTA